CCTTGTCTCATAGCTCTGGTCCTCCATCCCCTCCCCCTTGTCTCATAGCTCTGGTCCTCCATCCCCTCCCCCTTGTCTCATAGCTCTGGTCCTCCATCCCCTCCCCCTTGTCTCATAGCTCTGGTCCTCCATCCCCTCCCCCTCGTCTCATAGCTCTGGTCCTCCATCCCCTCCCCCTTGTCTCATAGCTCTGTGAAGTCTCATATCCACTTCCCACGTGGATAGAAAACAGGAGGTACGACTTACCGGAGAACCAGCCGCTCTGGCCGACAGACGCATTGGGACAATCCAGGGGGTGAGTGAGTGTCCCTTGCTGAGGTCTGGAGTTCAGCATACAGAACCACCTCAAAGGAGGCCACCATAAGACACGGGAACCCCAAAGAATCTCACCGGGCTGGTCTTGGCTTATAGAGTTCGCATCTGTTAACGCAGAGAAAGAACCATTCCCGGAGGAAGAGACACCCCGGCCTGGCTTGTGTCCAGGAGAAGACCTAAGTTATCTAGGCGGTGAGGGGGAACCAGCATCAATGTCTGGAGTCAACAGAGCGTGTGAATTGTCCGGTGGATATCCGTCCTCAGAGTCTGAACCGGGACTTAAAGGACAACTATGGGGTCAGGGCTTTCCCCCATAGTTCTCCTTAGGGTAATGGGAGGACACAAACTAGCGTCCTCCCGTCACCCTAGGCTCAGTATATAGGGAGCTACAGCTCGCGGTATACTGAGACCGCCGCAGCCGGAGCGGATCCCGACTTAGATGACGGGATCCGCCCAGCTGCGTGAGTGACAGCTGGCTCCTCCTATCTAGAGGCAGAGCCAGCTGTACCCGCCCCCTCCCCCGTCCGTTCCGCCAGTCAGCGCTGGCAGATCGGAGCGGGGAGAGGGGAATCCAGCCCCTCCCCTGTCACGGCAGAGAGCCATGACAGGATCGAGAGGTGAGAGAATGCCGGTATGTGTTCGCTCACCTCCCGATCTACTGAGCCGACCTGTGACAGTCTCATTGTCACACGTCGCCCCGAACTATGAGGAGTGGAAATCACCCCCC